TAACTTTCCACCAGATAATTTACTGTTACCATAGCAACACATGGTTTACCGTTAGCATTCGCCATTTTTTTAGCTGTATTTCAGTTATATCGACCCAGTTTTGGCGCATATTGAAAGCCAAAGGAACTTGTGAAAAACTAAACATTCTTTTGGGAATTTCTCAGAAGTCCATTGGTTTGAGAGTTCTAGTAGAGTCCTCGACACCACTATCGTGTATTTATTTAGTTATTTGAGAAGGGAGGAAAAATACATGCTGGTGCCCAGAGTCAGAACTAAACATGGGGAGGCTGCTTTTCAGATTCAATCTTCCTGAAGATGTGAGACAGGCCTCCTCTCTGACAATGTTTAAAACCAGGTTAAAGACAGTTCTGTTTAGCTGTGCTACAACTGAGGGATTTTATATTTTTATCTTTCTTTTTAATGTTCTGTGATTATTTATGATTTTAATGCTTTCTTGTTTTGTTCAGCACTTTGAGTTGCCTTGTGTATGAATTGTGCTATATAAATAAACTTGCCTTGCCTTGCATATTATTGAACATTTCCACAGTAGAGTATTGCACATGCCCTGACTTCATTTCATGATCCATTTGCATCACTATTGCACTGAGCCCCATTAGCACCCTCCCCATAAGACTTAGTTGCAGGGGCTAAGTCTACCACAATGGGGTTCTCCTTCCCAGGGATTTTCAATTACACACATGTTTACAACATATTGACAAGCTCCTGACTTATTGCCGGGGCTATTCTACCTGGGGTCTCCTTCAACAAATAACCTCAACAACCACAACACACACACATACACACAAACCAACCGAGGGAGCTCAATGTGAAACCGCACAAAACATGTCGCTACCGCCCACAGCACTAACCGCCCGACTCATCTTTGCCCGTAAAATATGTAAAAGACATATTTTATAGGAAACACATTGTTTTTCCTCATTACCCATTTCAACAATACAAAATGACCTAAACAATTATGCCATACGGCCAACGCTCTATCACATACCAACCACAAAAATAGCTAAGTAGAATCGACCCCAAAACAGCAATACACAGCATTTTTCTCACATTTCCATTTAACAAAGTAAAACGAATAATCCATTACCTAAACAAAGTAAAACAATTACAGTAATCAAAACATTTGAAGTTTTGTATGAAACATTAATCTCAACCTAACAACTCGACTGCCCACGGATCCCATTACTGCCACCCGCTTGGAACTTGCCTATCACATGGTAAAGAATTCCAGGCAACTATGGCTCTGTAACAAACAGTTCGCTGCATCTGATTAGTTTTACAACAGGGTAGAGCACACCTTGTTGCACTGGTCTGACGTGTTCCATAACTATGACTATCTGGAAAAATAACAATTTATTATGTATGACTTTAGGTATTTTTGTCATAATAATGTTCCTAATAAATGTTATTAGGAAATACTTTAATCTACATTTGACTGTTAACCACGCCAAACTATCATGCATTGTCCTCACATTGGTTCTGTATGGGCAACCTAAAACAATCCGTGCTGCTTTATTTTGAGCTACTTGTAACTTATGTAAATTATTTTCACTTGTGTTTGACCAAACAACTGATGCATAGTCTAAGTATGAAAGTACAAGTGATTGAACTAGTTGTTTGGTCAACCACCGAGGAATACACTTTCTACAATATTTAATTATGCCCATACTCCTCCCCATTTTCTGTAATAGACAATTAATTTGACTGGTCCACGACAGTCTAGAATCTACAATCACTCCCAACAATTTTACTTGATTTACTTGTTCAATTCTCGTATTTCCTGAAGTCAAATTTAACATCGGTGTTGTTTTCAATAGGTGTTTTGAACCAACTACCATGCATTTAGTTTTTTCGACATTAACCACTAATTTGTTAGTTCTAATCCATTGAGTTACTAAAGTCAGTTCCTCCTGTAGAATGTTATTAAGTTGGCAGTCTGTTTGTGCAGACGCAGACAATGTTGTGTCATCTGCATATATAGCCATGGTTGCCTGTTTTAATACCAGGGGAAGATCATTTATAAAAATCGAAAATAAAAGGGGTCCCAAACAACTTCCCTGGGGCACTCCACAATCCATATGTCCAATCTCAGAATAATGTCCATTAAAATAAACTTTATACTCCCGATTACTTAGATAACTTTCTAACCACTTTAAGGCAGGCAACTGAAATCCATAACATTTCAACTTATTTAGTAAAATTGTATGATCTAAAAGATCAAAAGCCGCACTTAAATCTAAAAATATTGTGCCAACCATCTTTTTATTATCAATTTCCTGTAACCAATGATCGGTAATCTGAGTAAGTGCAGTAGTTGTGGAGTGACCCATTTTATATGCATGCTGATAAATTGTATTTAATCCCTGAGCTGTAAAATATTCCTGCATTTGGTCATATGCTACTTTTTCCATAATTTTGCTTAATGCAGGTAACAAGCTTATTGGTCTGCTATTTTGACTTGACAATGGTTCTTTATTATTCTTAATTAAAGGGATCAATTTTGCCATCTTCCATGGTGATGGAAATATGTTTTTCCTTAAACTTAAATTGATTATATGAGAAACAGGCAACAGAACAATATCTACTACCATCTTTAATAGTCTGACCTCAATATTGTCAGCACCAGAGGGTTTTTCTTTACTTTCTTTCAACAATTTTTTGACATCATCCTCTGTTACCTCAGCAAATTTGAATGTAATATTTTTGGTTTGCATTATATATTTTCTTATTAATTGGTAAGTAATATTTTCTTCCTGTCTCACTGCCATGTCATTTCTAATTGTTTTTATTTTGTTAGAGAAAGACTGGCTCAGGTAATTAGCAATTTCCCTTGGTTTAGTAAGATATATTCCGTCTCCCTCCAAAAAAGTAGGAGTAGATCTTGTTTTCTTGCCCATAAGTTCATTTAATGTATTCCATAATTTCGTACTATCCGATTTAACCTCATTAATCGTTTTATGATAATATAGGCGTTTCTTATTTTTATTTAATTTGGTGACAACATTTCGTAATTTTCAATATTCATTCCATTTTGCCAATTGATTTGTTTTTATGGCCTCTGTTCTGACTTTATCCCTGAGCTTCATGTATTGCTTCAGGTCTTTGTCCAGCCATGGAGCAGAGACATTTCTCACTGCTTGTTTCCTCATTGGAGCATGTTTATCAATCACCTTTGTTGTCAGATTGTTAAAGACCACCACTGCCTTATCTGGATCTTGTTCTTGTAGTACCTCTGACCAATCTATGTTGCTTACTTCTGCTATAAAATAATTTTCTTTGAAATGTTTAAAAGTCCTTTTACAAATAAATTGTTGTCCCTGTGTAGGTACCTTTGTCTTCCTCATAACTGCGATTAAATTATGGTCACTGTAGCCAACTGGAATAGATACTGCCTCAGAGCATAACTCTGCCACATTAGTAAAAATTAAATCGATAATAGTTGCTGAACATGTACCATCGGTCTTTAAATGTATTCTCGTGAATTCACTGACAAGTTGTGACAAATTACAAGTATTAGCAAATGAAATTATTTGCTTCTTAATGCACAACTTTCCAATTTCCAATCAATATTTAAATCTCCTAAAAAATAAATTTCGCCTCCTGTATCACATACAAGGACATGGACCAGTGGACTCACTCCTTCACTGTATCCAACAGATCAGTGAGTGGATGCAAAACAACTTCCTTCAGCTAAACGCAGACAAAACTGAAATGATTGTCTTTGGTCCCCAGAAACAAAGAGAGAGCGTCATCTGTCATCTACAGTCTCTCTCCCTAAAACCTTCAAACAAGGTCAGAAATCTAGGGGTAATACTGGACTCAGACTTAAATTTTAATAGCCACATCAAATCAGTAACATCAACAGCTTTTTACCATCTAAAAAACATTGCCAGGATCAAAAACATAGTGTCTAAAGCAGACTTGGAGATTCTTATCCATGCATTTGTCTCCAGTAGGTTAGACTACTGCAATGGCCTGCTCACAGGTCTGTCCAAACAGGCTGTAAAACAGCTGCAGTACATTCAAAATGCAGCAGCTCGAGTCCTGACAAGAACCAGGAAGTACGACCATATTAGTCCGGTCCTCAGGTCTCTGCACTGGCTTCCTGTGGCTCAGAGAATAGACTTTAAAACAGCTTTGCTTGTGTACAAGTCTCTCCATGGCCTCGCACCAAAATATATTAGTGACATGTTAGTCCCATATGAACCAGCCCGGACTCTGAGGAGCACAGGGACTGGACTCCTGTTAGTGCCCAGAGTCAGAACTAAACATGGGGAGGCTGCTTTTCAGATTCATGCTGCTAAAATCTGGAACATTCTTCCTGAAGATGTGAGACAGGCCTCCTCTCTGACTATGTTTAAAACCAAGTTAAAAACTGTGCTGTTTAGCTGTGCATACAACTGAGGGATTTTATATTTTTATCTTTCTTTTTAATGTTCTGTGATTATTTATGATTTTAATGCTATCTTGTTCAGCACTTTGAGTTGCCTTGTGTATGAATTGTGCTATACAAATAAACATGCCTTGCCTTGCCTTGCCTTACAATGTCCAGCATTTCACATATTTGATCAAGGTACATTATAGCGGCATTCGGTGGTCTGTAACAACATCCAATGACAACAGGCCTCAAATGAGGTAACTGTAACTGTAACCAGAGTACTTCGACTCCTGCGATGTTAAGATCTGATCTTACTGTGACTGGGATGTGATTTTGGACATAACAAGCTACACCTCCACCATGTAAATTTCTGTCCAGCCTAAAAATATTATAGCCATCTATATTTAATAAAGGGCTATTTATTGTTGCATCCAGATGCGTTTCTGATATTGCTAATACCTGAAAATTGTATTTTTGTAAAGTATTCTGAATATCACATATTTTATTTCTTAAGCTGCACACGTTCAAATGAGCTATTTTAAAAAAACCTTTTTGCAACAGAATATGGTCTTTAATCATCTGATATTTGTTCTGAATTTATTCTTTTAGTTTCCCATTGAGCCTCCACCAAAACCCTCACATTACTTAACACATTCATACACACATCCACACACACAAAAATCTTTAACATTGTAATGAAATAAGAAATGAGAGATCGGCTGAGCTGTGCCTGCTCATGACATTATCCTTTTCAACATAAATATTACACATTATGTGGGCTTGCGTTCCAATATACAATAAACAAAAATACAGCCCTTTCTTCAGTCTTATTCATTTCTTCATATCCATCCAGCTGTCATTCAGTTTATTGTCTTATTAATCCCTTATTCTTTAGTCCAGGCATAATCACAGTTTCGTAATACGCCTCAGCCTCACTTCGCTCTGTGAACTTTTTTGTCTCACCTTTGAAAGTCAATATCAGCGTTGCTGGATGAATGATGTCGTGTCAGGTGAGGGAGGGAACGAAGATTGACCGGTAAATCGAGAGCTTCGCCTTTCGGCTCAGCTCCCTCTTTACCACAACGGTCCGATACAGAGACCGCATCACTGCGCACGCTGCACCGATCCGCCTGTCAATCTCACGCTCCATTCTTCCCTCACTCGTGAACAAGACCCCGAGATACTTGAACTCCTCCACTTGAGGAAGGACCTCTCCACCCACCTGGAGAGGGCAAGGCACCTTTTTCCGGTCGAGCACCATGGCCTCGGATTTGGAGGTGCTGATTCTCATCCCAGCCGCTTCGCACTCGGCTGCAAACCGTCCCAGTGCATGCTGCAGGTCCTGGTTCGTTGGAGCCAACAGGACGACATCATCCGCAAAAAGTAGAGATGAAATCCTGTGGTTCCCGAACCGGACCCCCTCCGGCCCCTGGCTGCGCCTAGAAATTCTGTCCATAAATACAGTGAACAGAACCGGTGACAAAGGGCAGCCTTGGCGGAGGCCAACATGCACCGGGAACAGGTCTGACTTACTGCCGGCAATGCGAACACAGCTCTGGCTCCGGTCATACAGGGACCAGACGGCCCTCAGCAGAGGACCCCGGACCCCGTACTCCCGGAGGACCCCCCAAAGGACACCCCGGGGAACACGGTCGAACGCCTTCTCCAAATCCACAAAGCACATGTGGACAGGTTGGGCGAACTCCCATGAACCCTCGAGTATCCGATGGAGAGTATAGAGCTGGTCCAGTGTTCCGCGACCGGGACGAAAACCACACTGCTCCTCCTGAATCCGAGATTCGACC